CCCCCCTCCCTCCCACCAACCCCTGGTGGATCAAGATCCAACCCCCTTGGATCTAAAAACAAGGAAAACCATCCCCCCTCCTTACTCCCACCAACTCCTGGTGGATCAAGATCCAACCCCCTTGGATCTAAAAACAAGGAAAACCATCCCCCCTCCTTACTCCCACCAACTCCTGGTGGATCAAGATCCAAACCCTTGGGATCTTAAAACAAGGAAAAATCAATCAGGTTCTTAAAAAGAAGGCTTTTAATTAAAGAAAAAGGTAAAAATCCTCTCTGTAAAATCAGGATGGAAAAATAACTTTACAGGGTAATCAAACTTAAAGAGCTCAGAGGGCCCCTCTCTAGCCTTAGGTTCAAAGTACAGCAAACAGAGATAAACACTCTAGCAAAAGGTACATTTACAAGTTGAGAAAACAAAGATAAACTAAGACGCCTTGCCTGGCTATTTACTTACAAGTTTGAAATATGAGAGACTTGTTCAGAAAGATTTGGAGAACCTGGATTGATGTCTGGTCCCTCTCAGTCCCAAGAGCGAACAACCGAACAACTTCCCAAACAAAGAGCACAAACAAAAGCCTTCCCCCCCACCCCCCCAAGATTTGAAAGTATCTTGTCCCCTTATTGGTCCTTTGGGTCAGGTGTCAGCCAGGTTACCTGAGCTTCTTAACCCTTTACAGGGAAAAGGATTTTGGAGTCTCTGGCCAGGAGGGATTTTATAGTACTGTACACAGGAGAGCTGTTACCCTTCCCTTTATAGTTATGACAGGGCTTAAGGGCATGGCTGTGATGGCTGATCAGAATGGGGACGAGGGGCATGGTTGGAGGGCATTCGGGACAAGGTGGGAGTGAGGGGACTGGCTCGGAGTGATAGGGGGACTGGCTGGGGGGCTGTGCATAGTGAGGGTAGGGGCCTGGCTGTGGTGATGGGTTGTATTAGGGGAGAAGGGCCCAGCTGGTCATACAGCTCAGCCTACATAAGCAATGCAGTGTGCGAACCCTCCTAGCAGCTACTTGTCATACATATAGACATCAGCAGGGGGAGCCAGAGAGATTCCTCTGCCCACATCATCCTAGGCCTCTGTGGACCCGACTTTAGTGGAAATTGGGCTTTTCCAGTTTTCTGATTGTCCCCAAAGTCAGCAGGGTTCTACCCGTTTGTGCCTCGACCAGGCCCATCGGGTCCGGAACTGAGCGGATGTTCTCCAAAGCCGTCGTGTGACAGGCGCAGAAATGTCCCATCGAGCTGAGTGGGGGCCTGGCTTCATTGTGCACCAAAGATCCCAACATCAGCCTGAGCAACCAGTTCACACACCCGGAATACACAGAAACCATCTCACCGACTGACCCCCAAACACCCTTTACTCTGCCCCGGCACTGCTCATGGACATTTCTGGGTGGGATTGTCAGGAGCATCTAAGAGAGTCGGTAGCACAAGTCAAGTCCCAATGGGCCTTGTGCCCTTAGGTGTTCCTGAAAATCCCACCCCAGGTTCCTTTTTTGTATTTAATGAGGAAAATGGAGCAGAGAGGTTGCTCAGAAATGTCACACTTTTCCCCCTTCTCCTGGGTGAGGGGCTTTCCCCGAGAACCTTCCCTTGGGGCCAGGCTCTCCTGTGGGGGCTGAGCTCTGCCTGAAGCGCTCTGCTTCTCTCCCCAGCGAGTGTGACTCTGGATCCAGACACGGCTCATCCCTGGCTCCCCCTGTCTGTGGTTCGGAAAATTTTGACCTGGGACGTCATACGGCTGAACCACCCTGAACATCCCGAGATTTGATTTGTCTCCTTGTGTGCTGCGCTGTGAGGGATTCACCTCAGGGAGACATTGCTGGGAGGTAGAGGTGGACAGCCTGGGCTGGAGGGGTGGCCAGAGAGTCTGTGAAGAGAAAGGAGGAGCTCAGTGCGGCACCTGATGCGGGGGATCTGGGCTGTGCAGAGGTGGGGGTTTCAGTTCCAGGCTCTCCCCTCCCCTCCAACCCCCCCTGTCTCTGAGCCAGGTCCCCGGGAGGATCCAGGTGTCTCTGGACTGTGAACAGGGGCAGGTGGCATTTTTCAGTGCTGATAGCGAGGCCCCAATCTTCACTTTCCCACCAACCTCATTCACGGGGGAGAGAATCTGCCCTTTCTTCTGGGTCTGGGGTGTAGGTTCCCAGCTCACTCTCTATTCCTGAGGCAGTGGGTGGCACATGGCTTCAGGTCTCATGAAATTAGCTTCTCCAGCCTCTAACATACCAGTGTCTTTGACCCCGCATGGCTCCCATGTTCCTGCAGAGACATTTAAGCACAAAGTGAACAGGTCAGAGAAGCTGCTGTCTCTGCCCCATCGTGGGTCTCTTCTGCTTGTCTCTCTCCCTCTGAGGGACCATGACAGCTCTGCAAGGACTGGAAAATAGGGGTTCACAGTCTGTCTGAAGGGGGATTTCCAGGATCCCCAAAACTTGTATGACTCTGCAGTCCCACAAAAGGGAACATGCATGTCATGTGAAGGGAACCTAGTCATGGCTGTAATGCATTGCTCAAACTGTGACCTGCAGAGAGCTGTCTGGCCACATGATACAGGCTCCTCCCCCTTGTTTTCAGCTGCTGTGTTCTGCTAAATAGCCTTAGGCACCTCTTAGGATTCCTTCCCCAGGTGAGCGATTGCTGTGGTTGCCCCAGGAATGTTGAGGAGAGGGGAGGTGGGCCCTGCAGTCATTTCTGGGAGTAAAGCTGGTCCGTGAGTCACTATGTCTACTGGGCTGGGTGTATACTGTGGGGAACCACTGAGATCTGCTGGTGTTAGCGCTGTGCTTCTGTTTAATGTGTGCCCCTGCTGTAAAACATCAAGGCCTCTGCTCCCTGCTGGAGGGCAGCCACCATCTTGTGTCTGGTTAGATGCAGAGGGCCCAGTGTGCGGTGCTCACAGAGATTTTACTGTGTGCTTAAATAAAGGCCTAGAGATGGCAAGTCCCTGGCTGTTCTTGGTGAATTGTGACAATGCTGTGTGAGCCGTGGCCCTGAGAATGGGATTGGCAGACACAGGGGAAGTGGGAAAACAATGGACCTGTCTCCTGGTTAAGAAGAAAAAAAGAAAAGGTGAAATGGACACTTACGGTGATGGGAGCAGAAGAAGCTGGACATCTAAAGAGTCTCTGGTTGCCTTGAGCCCCTGGTTATGATGCATTGACATATCTATCAGTCATGCAGTGATGTGGGATTAGAACATTGGACCATGTACAGAACAGAACCAGGGGAGGAGGGGAGTGGCTGCCACTGTTAACACCACATCCCCAATACCAGTCCAGGCAATTGGGTCCATTCTCCTTCAAGGGACACCATGGAAAGAGGAGCTGGTGTGAGTGAGCCCTTGAATGTGAATGAATGAAGTCTGAGACGATGATACTAGTATGGGCTCCAATCCTGTAATGACAGTGACTTCAGCAGGAGTATGGCTGGATACATCCCCAAGTGCATGGAATGGGGGATGGCCAGGTGTGCAACCTGTTGATACAATTGATGTAAAAGCCCATGAGATCCCTGTTAAGGCTTTGCACTAGAGGGCGGGTGTGGTGAAGTTGGGGTGTGCAGTGTGTTTTGAGATCTGTGTCAGATATTAGTGAAAGCCCTCTGGAGTGTTGGAGGGTATCCTCAACAGTGCTGTAAACAATGTAAATGTAGAAGACTTTTTCCTTAAATTCTTATTTCCCTTCTTCCAAGGTTTTGGGTGGATGGGGAAGGTCCTGCCACATTGTGATCAGGTTTTGTCATGTTAGATACCTGGGTACTTGGGCTCCTTCACCCTCTCACTTCCCTGGTCCTTCTCGCATGAACAGAGAGCAACAATACCCGAAGTCCAAAGGCGCAAACAATTCGATGTTTATTGGGGTGAACTTCCAGCAAGCATGATTCCAGTTTCCTTCCTCAGTGTCCCCCTTCCCAGCTCTGATACCACAAAGCCTGGCCTGTCTCCCTGTTTCCATTCCCTGTTCCCATTTCCCCCGCCTTAGCAAAACAGAGATTGACCACCTGCCAGGTGAATGCCCTACCCACGGGGCTAAGGGATAGTCTGATTGGGGGGGGGGTGTCTCGCCCAGTCTCTCTTCTTGAAGCTGTGTGGCGCTCCCAGCGCAGAGAACCGGGAGCCCGGACTCTCAGTGCTGGGCAGCCAGGCTTCCCTCTTAAGTCAGTTGAAGCACTGCTTGTGAGGATGCACACAACTGGCAGAAGGAGGGTAGTGTGGACATGAAAAACCACAGTAATAACTGTGATGGCTATGCCTTGGGGGAGTGTCCTGGAATCCCCATATTCCTCATTTTTATATAATCATGATTTTACATATAAAGCATGCCTTGTAAGGTATCAGGGGAAAGCTTATGATCTGCTGAAAGTCATTTCTCTATCCATATATGTACATCATTAACACACATGAAGTTATGACAATTATGTTGTATGGTTGTCAGTAAAACATACTGTAAGTTGGGGATTCAGCCAGATATTAGCTCCCCGGAGGCAACAGCAAGCAAAGTACCAATGCCTGGGCGGGGTGTGAAACAACCCATCAACAGTCATTGTCCAGCAAGGGAGCTACAATTCAGTCACTCACCTGCATGAGGCCACACCAGGGGAATTTCTCAGCCTGGCCTGGAGACTCAGCAAGGTCCCCAAACATACGTGGACTTGTGCTCCCCAACCACATGGGTCTAAGGGTATAAAACAAAACAGTGGCCACATGCTGGGCATTTCTCATAGACTCATAGACTTTAAGGTCAGAAGGGACCATTATGATCATCTAGTCTGACCTCCCGCATGATGCAGGCCACAAAAGCTGACCCACCCACTTTCCCTTAACTCAGCTGTTGAAGTCCCCAGATCGTGATTTAAAGACTTCAAGTTGCAGAGAATCCTCCAGCTAGCGACCCCTGCCCCATGCTGCAGAGAAAGGCGAAAAACCTCCAGGGCCTCTGCCAATCTACCCTGGAGGAAAATTCCTTCCCGACCCCAAATAGGGCGATCAGTAGAACCCCGAGCATGCAGGCACGATTCTTCAGCCAGACCCTCATTGACCATTGATACTATTTACCAGCGATGGCACGTTATTGACTAATTGACTAAAATCACGTTATCCCATCAAACCATTCCCTCCATAAACTTATCTAGCTTAATCTTAAATCCAGAGAGGTCTTTCGCCCCCACTGTTTCCCTCGGAAGGCTGTTCCAAAATGTCACCCCTCTGATGGTTAGAAACCTTCGTCTAATTTCAAGCCTAAACTTCCCCACGGCCAGTTTATATCCATTCGTTCTCGTGTCCACATTAGTACTGAGCTGAAATAATTCCTCGCCCTCCCTGGTATTTATCCCTCTGATATATTTAAAGAGAACAATCATATCCCCCCTCAGCCTTCACCCAGCTACACTCCAAGCAGCAAGGACACTCTAAAGACTCCAATTGAGGGGATCTGCCCAGATTTCAAGGGTGAAATATGTATACTATGGACTGCAACATCCTGTGGGGTGAGAAAAAATGCTTAATCTAGATATTGTCCAGTCTAATAGGGTTGAGAGTTTAGACTGCGTGCTTATATTTTATTTTATTTTGGTAACTAACTCAGATTTTAAGTGATAGGCAAAAAGTCAATCTTTTATAGTCAATAAATTTGTTTTACTGTTTATCTTTACCAGTGAGGCTGTATGAAGTGTGTTGCAAAACCTGAGCAGATTTGCAAAGGCTGGTGTATGTCCACTTTCCATTGAAGAAGTGGTGAACCAATTAATAAATCTGCATTGATCATCTTGAGCAGTGCAAAATGGTATATTCCTGAGGTACTGTGCTGGGAACGAGGGGAAAGCCAGTGCCTTTCTCTGTGTGATTCATGAGTGGCTCTGGGAGCATTCATGCAATCTAGCTGGGTGTTGGGTCTCCACATGCGATTATGCTGAGTGATAACAGCCCCCGGAGGGGTTTGCTGCTCGTCACTAACAAGGCATTGTGAGAGAGAGCCCAACCTGCAGAGAGTTAAGGGGGCACAGCGGTCCCACGGTCCCAGGCTGCACCCCGGGGATCCTGTTACACTCCTCTATGAACCTTTTAATTTTACATGCTAGCAATCTGGTTCTATTTCCTTCCTGTATAGACTCCTCCATTCCCAAAATGTTCCCCAGTTCCTGATAAACTGTAAACTCTGCTCCCTACAATGTTATCTCATCCATGCTCTGAGACCCTGCCATTCTGCCTGTGTAACTGGCCCTGCACATGGAATTGGAAGCATTTCAGAGAATGCAGTTAACTGCACAAGTTAGGGCTCCACTCCCCTACCCTCTCTTTTAGGTACTCAGGAAGTATGTGATTGAACTTTACCCCTCTGTGGACTCAGAGCTCTATGGGTCTGCAGGGCCTCTTACCAGTGAAAGAAGCTTACACAGTAATATACTTAAACTCTATTTATTAACAATTGATTAACAGGAAAACAAACGCTGAGCATACAATTCTCACCATTCCCACTAAGGCAGATGAGCTTCTCCTGATGTCCAGTCAGGATTGAATCGCCTTGGAGCTCCGTCTTTGGCTTCTGCATGGAATGGTCATTCAGTTTATCAAGTTCTGGTGGCTTTGGTCTTGGACTGTGTAATGGAGTTAGATTGCCAAAGAACTTCTTTTTGGACTGCAGTTTATATAGTAAAATCTAGGTCCTACTTAGCTGTACCATAACCAATCATTTTAAAATAAAGTACTACAAAACAGTATTTTTCACAAACCCTAGCCTACCACCTTTTACATACAAGAGTTAATTCAAGTGTTGTGAAACCAATTACACAGCAGACAGAAACAATTAAAGAATCAGACAGAGCCCAGACAGATAAACAATAGAGAAGTAGGGGCCATAAAGGCAAAACAAAAAGAAGAACAGATTTCACAGTCACAATATTGATAAGTGGTTTCTTGCCAGACAGAATGCTATCAAACAAAGTTTTCTTTAAACATCTTAAGATCTCTTTATTTATTTGGTGATGGTGAGTACTATTAGGACAGGAGTGCCTTCTTAACAGTCAGATATTACATTGTTTTGGTGCAATAGATGGAATGTGAGGATGTGACTCTCTGCAACTTAGCTCATAGCTGTTGTTTTAACTGCAAAAGAAGGTCTCCCCTCAGACCTTACAACACTACCATAGAGGTTCTGGATTTTCTTAGCAGCCTAGATTTGGCTTCCAGGATGTTTCTCCTACCTTTCCCTATGCCAGTGGCATCGACATGTACGACAACCACAGGCTCCTCCCCAACATCTCATATACATCTGTCTAGAGGTCTTGAGAGATCAGCAACCTTCTCACCTGGCAGGCAGTTCACATTGTGGCTCTCCCAGTCATCACAAACCCAGCTATCTATGTTTCTAATGATAGAATCCCCCATTACTATTTCCCGTCTCTTCCTAATAACTGGGATTCCATTTCCTGGAGGAGTATCTTCAGTGCGAGAGGATACCCTGACATCATCGGTTTCCCTCAGCTCCAGCTTGATGTCCTACTTCCCCACGAATTTCCTCCTCCACAACAGCACAGAGGCTGTCAGACTAGGGGTGGGACTGCTCCACTTTGTCCCAGGAAGTCTTTTCTCTGCACCTCTCTGTCTCCCTTAGCTCCTCCAGTTCAACCACTCTGGCCTAGGGCTGCCAACCCTCCAAAGTTGTCCTGGAGTCTCCAGGAATTAAAGATAAATCTTTAATTAAAGATGATGTCATGTGATGGAACCTCCAGGAATATGTCCAACTAAAATTGGCAACCAAACTCTGGCCTAAAGTGCCGGTACTCGGTCTCTGAGGGCCATGAGCTGCTTGCACCCAATGTGCATATACACCACAACGTTGGTAATCACACATGCTGCATTCAGTTCAATCAACTGGACAGCCCCCTCTCTGCTGCTGGATGGCTGCCTGAATTCTTTTTACTGCTGTAGCTTTTTGGTTTTTTGTTTTGTTTTATGGGGGTTGTTTATTGGCCTAAGTGTAGAGAATGAGTTTAGAAAATGGCTCTCACATTCCCTCACTAAACTCCTGTTCACTAGCTCCTCTGGTCACTTAAGAGCTGGCTTTTTAAACCCCTGTTCTCCCTGAGTTAGCCTTTCCCTTTTGTTAAGGAATGCTAAAGGAATTAGGGATCAAAGGATGGCAGGCTAGAGCCTCATTAAGAAGCCCCAGCCTGGCCTAGCAGGTCACTAGGCTCAGCACACAGCCCCCCAAACAGACAACACTATACTATGGGCAGGGATGGTGTCCCTAGCCTCTGTTTGCCAGACGCTGGGAATGGGCGACCGGGGGTGGATCACTTGATAATTACCTCTTCTGTTCATTCCCTCTGAAGCACTTGGCATTGGCCACTGTCAGAAGACAGGATACTGGGCCAGATGGACCTTTGGTCTGACCCTATCTGGCCGTTCTTATATTTTTATAAACTTCAATCACGCAGGTACACGGTAAGCAGCAAGCACACAACAAACAAATGAACAGACAAACTCACATGATCAGAGTGAAACTCATCCCTCGCATTCAAACAAACAAAAAGTTCAATGTGTGATGGTTTTAGGAAAATAATTCTCTTGATGCCTACAGCCAGTCTCAAGAGTTCTGAGCCCTTGGTGCTGGCAATCCTGCATTGGCATTGGTCAGTTTGTGTATTCAAGCCTGTCTTCTCCAGCTAAGGCTCTAAGGACCTAAATATAAAAGTGAACATTCTCCTTTATCTTTTGAGTTCAGCCCAAGTTCAGGGGGGCTGTGCTCATTTGTTGCTTGGGTTCACAGCCCAGCTCCAAGTGCATTCCCATGGCTTGGCCTCTCTATTTCCCTTTCTATTGCCTGTGCTGTTTTAGACAAATGATGGCACTACTTTAGGGGGCTTACCATGGATAGCTGATAGAAATATAAGGCCTCAATTCTCATTGGCACCCCACTGTCAATCATTTAAAAATCAGGAGTCACTGAGACAGACCCCTGAAAATGATGAAATTACCTTAAAATAATTAAATTTAAAAACCAAAATACTAGTTCATAATAAGTGTTGGGTTCTTTTTATTTTCCTTCTCATTTCTCAGACTTTTAGACTGAACTTCAGCCATATTTTTAATTTTTTCTCTGCAGCCACAAGGTCTAGAAATTTTTGTTTAGAAAATGCAAGGCAGGAGTCTCACCTTATCACTTGATTTCAGGAGCTGGGGCTTTAGGAAACATATGAAATGTCATGAACCACATGATGAAAGCATGAGAGTTGATTACACTGCTAGCATTAAGGCCCAGGCACACTGCCAGAGAAGCCTTAGTGTAAATGAGAATCAGGCCTTCCAGTTTAACCCAATTTTTAGCTTGTGTGACTTTAGTATCACTCCTTAGACAAACAAACCCTGGTCCTGCAAGTTCAGCATCCCAGCTGCGCACTGACACCTGGGTGAAGCCCCAGTGACCCATCAGCTCAGGGGCTTGCAAATGTAAGCGGGGGAATGGTCCCGCTATTGTGGGGAACTTTCCTGGCTTATATACTACCCCGGTGAAGTGGGCTAGCAAAAGGATCGGAGTCCTCGCTCCCATTTCCTTTACCCAGAAGCCTGCCTGACCTCGAGAGCTCTCCCTCCACTTTCCCCTGTGGCAGAGTCCTCGTAACCCCAACAAGGCTGGGCCCAGGA